GTGAATTGACTGTATATTTTGTGGACAAAACAATGCAGCGAATTGAGCACAGCAGCGTCCCACTAACAGTCGTAGATTTGAGTGACCCAAATTTTTTTGGAAGGTATTATTACCCCCGGAAAAGCGATCCACCAATCGACTAACAACCGGTTTCCTACATACTGCTGGGTAAACAGAGACGCGTGGAGTAAGGAAATTTGCCCGAAGTTTCGCCCTGACACTGGGAATCAAACCAGATCCGCTAACAATGGTGGAAGTTTCCGAGTGAATGTTTTTTTTTCTCTCTGTTTACTCCAGTTGTGAATCGGAATAAATAGAAACGGGCTTTGGCTGGGTAGGAAAGTTGGAGATTTGTTATCGGTCACAAATCACTTGGGAATGGAAGCTGATCGTTTGCACGTTTCCTGAATAGGGGAGGCAGCTGCAAGAGGAGATCTGAGTGGCTGGACGTGGTTTGGACAATCCTCTTATAAATGTTATGAAGCCTTCTGTCGCGATTGCAGTGTGTGCTTGCGGGTGGGTTTGTGGGATGAGGGTGGGGGGTGCAGAGGAATGCGCAAAAACGTGTATGTCTGCATGGGTTAATGTGTTGGTGTGTGAGCGTGTGTGTGCGTGTGTGTGTATAAAGCATGTGTGTGTTGCGTGTACAGGAGTGGGGTGAGGTGTGTGAATGGAGGGTGAGTGTGTGCGTGGTGGGTAGAGTACGCGTGGAGGGCGTTTGGTGTGTATTGTCAATGCAAAGGTGTGTATGCCTGAGGGGGTTGATGGGTTTGAAGGGTGTGTATATATATAAAGTGTGTGTGTGTGTGGAGGGTGATTGCATGTGTGAGGAGGGAGGTGAGACATGTTTATATAGTGGTGTTGCGGGTTAAACGGAAATAATTCTATGTGTTGGAACGAATGGTGTCAAACAACCATCCGATGAGGAAAAAATATAAGAATTTGTGTGTGTGTGTGTGTGTGTGCGGGGCTGGGGAAAGGGAAGTGGACTAAACAGATCGAGAACTGACACACGCACAGGCACAAGGGGCTGAATGGCCTCCTCTGCCCTGAAATCTTCTAACTAACGTGGTACAATCTCCAGCCCCAAAAAGAAAGAAATTAAGTCAAAGGCGGCAGGTGACCTTTTAGTGCCAGTCAATGTATTGTCGTTTCCTATAGAGCGTTAAAGGATTATTTTTTTTTTAATTGAAGTAGTCAGCGGATCACGTTATCAATGCATCGCTAAAAACAACATTTTTCTTGTTGTTGAAAACTCTTAGCAATCCCTGGGGTTGATAGACAGAGCTGGGCTGGTCCAGGTTTCCGCTGTGTATGCTTCAGAAAGGAGAATCACTTGGAATCTCGCTTTCACTGGGTTTCGCTTTACACGTTGAAACTCAACGGACCCGAATTTTTCTTTGGACAAAGTGCTCGTAAGCACGTAAGAATTTGCTAAGAAGGAAAGAAGGCCAAGGTCCATCTAGTTCTCCTTCTGTCTTCATGGCAGTCGCTTGACACGTTGTGTCCCAAACTATCTACTGTATCCCGAGACATTATTTTCCAGCAGAAATCTATCTAATTTGCCATTGTGGTTTCCTGTAGCTCAGTGGTTAGAGCACTCGCTTTGCAAGTGAGAGACCTGAGTTCAATTCCAGGCAGGGCGAAACCTTGGGCAAGTTTCCTTACTCCACACGCTAATAATCCCTCCAAAAAAAAACAATAATAAATTGGTCATTTTCAATCTACGACTGTTTGGACATTGCTGTGTGCAATTGGCTGCCGCGTTCGCCCACAAATATACAGTCAATTCACTTTACAGTGTGTTCTGTGAAGCGCTTTGGGACGTCCTCCTGACGTGAAAAGCGCTATATCAAATGCAAGGATTATTATTATATTGGTGTCACTGTCTGGCTTTTTCGCTGCTTGTCCTGCTAGAACCATCATACCCGTTAGGGAGCAAACCGGTTTCTACTCCTTGCTCTGACCCACTCGACTGTCCTGTTTCAGTGACCGATTTAGAGCAACTTGCGATGTCTCTTCCTCCCCTCTCCCCTAATTTTTCGCGAGGTTAAAGGTCCCTTTGCTGGGTTCTCTGCACATTATTAACAGTGCATTAACTTCAACTGCGAGCTGAATGAAGCTAATTTTCTCTCTCACTCGCAACCCACTCAAGAGCTGTTGCTGTGAAACAGTAGCCTATTATACTGGTTACTTCACACGATGCATAAGACACCCAGACTCCCGACTTGTCAAATGTTGGGCCAATTTGTCTCACGTAGCCATAAGTAGGAAGGGAGCCCCGGTGCGCTCAACGTAAGCCCTAAGCTCCGAGTCTTCACACTACATTTTCTATTCATCGCTGGGCGCAAGGTTTGATCGTGGAATCCTGTAGCGTAGTGGTTAGAGCCCTCGCCTCGCGAGCGAGAGGACCTGAGTTCGATTTCCCGGGCAGGGCGAAACCTTGGGCAGGTTTCCTTACTCCACACGCCTCTGTTTACCCAGCAGTAAGTAAGAAGCCGGTTGTTAGTTGATTGGCGGGGTTAATGATAATCCCTTCTCAAAAAAAAATAATAATAATTTGGCCCACTCAATCCGCGACTGTTTGCGGGACGCTGTTGTGCGCAATTGGCTGCCACGTTTCCCCCGCAGAATATACGGTCAATTCACTTTGTAGTATATTCCGTGAAGCGCTTTGAAACGTCTCAACAGCGTGGTGAGGCGCCGTATCAAATGCATGGATTATAAGGATTATTATTATTAAAATTACAGTGCGGGCACGATTGAGTTCCCACGAGAATCATCTGGGTTCCCCCCAAACCCCTCCCCTCCGCCTCGCTCCAGTCTTCACACTCCTCTCCTTTCACCTTCCCGTTGTTCGACTCTCTAAATCCTCGACAAAACAATTGAACCGTCTCAGACGCTTGCGTATTAACAGACAACGACCGGCTCAGCCTCTCCTAAGGTGCCCCCATCTTACAGATGAGTCGGAGGTGAGAGAGAGAGAGAGAGAGAGTGAGAGGGAGAGATAGAACGAGAGAGAGAGAGAAAGAGAGAATCGTACCACAGCGCTTAATTTTTTTGAACGCTGCCTTAAAGACTGATTGAGCCGCCGTTACTGATTACGATCGCTGTCACTCCTCGAACAACGCTGTGCCTTTTGACAGGTCAAAGTTAATACCGAGCTGAGCGGAGTTTGCTGAACTATCAAGGCGGGAGATTGCATGATAAATGAAAAGCTGGAGGACTCTAATACAGTTGGTTCTGCATCAGCAGTTCCAATAACCAAAGGGGAGCTATCATCTGCAGTGTGGGCAGAGGCAAGGCTGAACTGACTTTTTACTTTGCAGCCACTTCGGATAAGCTCTGCAGAGCCTCACAGTGCTATCTCGCACCGAATTGTGCCTCGCTCGATGCAATTTCGGGACGCGCTAAGTCTGAATCCGCTGTACTTAATCCCCACCGGGTTTAAGCATCATCTATCTCTCTGATTAGAAGCCTGGTAACCAGGTGGCTTTTTGTTTGCGTAGCAAAAAAAAAAAAAATGCTATCGCGTTTGAAGACTCCCATTTGCGGAGTCCTGCGGGGTTAGAGCTCTCGCCTCGCAAGCGAGAGGACCCGGTTCGATTCCCTGGTCCTTACTCCACACACACGCGCGCCTCTGTTTGCCCGGCAGTGAGCAGGAACCCGGTTGTTAATTGATTTCCGTGCGGATCACTTTTCCGGGGGTAACAAACCCTTCGAAAATATTTGGACACTCAACCCACGGCTGTTTGTGGGACGCTGCTGTGCGCAATTGGCCGCTGGGTTCGGCCCACAAAATATCCCGTCAATCCACTTCACGGTCTATTCTTTGAGACGTCTCGAAGACGTGATAAAGCGCTATATCAAATGTAAGGATTATTATCATTATTATCTTTCACTGGATGGAGTAGGGGAGTGGGGGGGGGGTGGCAGGGATTTTTCCCACTCGGCTCCTGTTCCCCCCCCCGCACCCCTTCCCCCACCAGGAAGCCAAATCTTACGAAGGTCTCATTAACCCACCCCGCCCCACCCCATAGCGTCCGTGTGTCCTCACCCGCATTCCACCCACGGCGAGTGGCGTGTGGCTTCCCTTCGTCCAACCTGACTCCCCGACCCGCGCGTTCCCTCACCCAAAGCTGTCGTGTTGCGTCTGTGTCCATCGCACAACATCGCTTCCCACTTCTCACCAGCCCTTAGAGTTGAAAGAGCCTCTCGCTCCAGGTCTTTGTCAAGAGCCCAGTTGGAGATCTTTAATGCCTGTGATGTCGAACGCTGTGAACGACTTTGATTATTAATTCATTGTGCTTCTCTTGTCTGGTGCAGCCAATAGTGCACGCAGAGAGCCTCGCCTTCTCTTCCAGTTTTGCTGTGAAATCCGTTTTTTTGTATATATACAGTATTTATATACATACATAACTCGCTGCTTGTCAGTCTGCCCAAGTTTCCCCCCCCCCCCCACCCACCCCCCACCACACACTCACAAGCTGCCGATTATTCAGAACTCTGCAGCTCGTGTCCTCTCCCGCACCAGGCTCCCTGACCCCATCCCCTCTTCCCCCTTCAGCCTTGCCGCCCCAACCCTTCGGGACTGCACCCCACAGTCCCTCCGCCTCGCCCCCTCCCTCGCCTTCTTCAAGGCCCGTCTCAAGACCTTCCTCTTCAACCGCACCTTCGCTCACCCTCCTACCCCGGTACCCTCCCCGCCCGCCCGCACCCCACCCTCCTGATCCCAACGCCCCCATCTCAGGTTCAAATCTCTTGACTGCCCAGTGCCTTGGGACGTCCTCCCGACGTGAAAGGAGTTGTGTAAATGTCATTTGTTGTTGTTGTTCCCGTTTGAATCGTTTCGTTTTTTTTCCTACACACGGAGTGAGCGAGCGAGTGCCATCTATTTGTAACCAACACCTCGATTGTTTTTTCTCTCTCTTCCTCTCCCTCTCCCTCTCTCTCTCTCTCTCTGCCTCTCCCTCCCTCTTTCTCTGTGTCTTTTGTTTCAGCCTCGCACCACATATTCCCAGCCTTCCACACACCCATCCCGATCGACATGCGTCACCACGAGGGGAGGTACCACTACGAACCCCACTCGCTACACGCCATCCACGGGTAGGTGCTAGTTGCTTTCTTCCTTGTCCTCTCGTCCCGGGTCCCGTGCCTGGGACTTCGTTGCGTGAAAAATCTTGAGGGTTTAAGCTCTCGCAGGTGCCGCCCGGAGTGAAGAGAGGTTTGCCGTGTGGAGTTGCATCCTCCCGTAAAAATAAAGTGGTCGCGAATTGTGATAACGGCAGGTTAGTGGCTGGTTCGAAACATTTTGATTAGAAATGTCATAATAATAATATTAATAATGATAATAATTGTTGCGTTTCACTCGCAAAGTATAAAGTCGATTCGCTACACATTACGTTCGGTGAAGCTCTTTGAAGACGTAATAAGGTGTTTTATCAAATGCAAGGTTTATGATCATTACATTTGACGTAGCACCTTATCACGTCTTTGAGGCGTCTTAAAGCGCTTCACAGGTATGTTGTGAAGGGAATTGACTGCGTATTTTGTGGGCGAAACGAGGCACGAACAGTCGTAGAGGGACTGGACTATGAGGAACGATTAGGTAAAACTGGACATAGTCACACTGGAGAAGAGAAGGTTGAGGGGCGATATGATTATGATTCCAAAAGGATTGGATAATGTAGACCACGATAAGCTGCTTTATCTTGTACTGAACAGTAGAACCGGAGGACACGGCCTGCGAGTGAAGTGGGGGTAAACCCCGAACAAATCCGCGGAAACTATCTGGGGACACAGTATAGAGTTTAGGACATGACATGTCAAGGGACTGCCAGGATGGTGGAAGGCCAACTGGATGGACCTTGGTCTTCTTTGGCCCGGCAAATGATCACATCATTGGGACGCCTCAAAGCGCTTCACAGTATACCTTGTAAAGTGAATTGCCTGTGTATTTTGAGACGCTATGTGTATTACAGCATATTCTATGAATCACTTTGAGACGTCGCGAAGACATGATGAGGGATTATATCAAACGCAAGGATTCGTAAGATAATATATGTAGGAAATGCAAAGAATCATGAACCGTCTCACCCCCCAAAAGATTCCAGCAACTTTTCGCAGTCCACACGGAGTAAAAGCAACACCGTCGGCTTGTTAAAAGGTGGCTTTTCAACTTAAAACCGGTGAGGGATTGGGTTCAAAGGGATGACCCAGGCGTAATCCAGCCGATCAGTTGAAATAATCAACCTAAGACGTTCCCAGAAGAATGTTAATCACATCCAATGCCACCTGCAGGTTCTGGGGATACCGGCTTGATCCACTGGCTTGTGAACCAACCTCTGCCCTGAATTCCTGCCAAACTGTTTGATCAGCTGGCTCCTGCTTCAAGCCAAGGAGTCTTGTTAATTCCTCACAGACCTTTCACGCACGTTCATAGTTGCGCGCCGAGGGCCTTTAAGCCAAAAAAAATGTTAAAGGCGCTGCGAGGATTCTTAGTGTTTATTTAATGTCGTGCTAAACCAAAAGAGCATTTATCGTTCGGTTTCTGCCACTAGGAAATGTTCTGGTCGAGTCCTGCTGGGTAGTGGTTAGTGCGTTCGTCTCGCAAGCAACATGGGACTTCCTGTAGCTCAGCGGTTAGAGCACTCGCCTCGCAAGCGAGATACCTGGGTGGAATCTGGAAATAGTTTCTCTGTAGCTATCAATCTCATCCAAAGCCGTGTTAATAACCACACCCTTACGTTGCTATTTTCGCTGGTCTTGCCTTCAAAAGCAAATGAACGGGGGTGGGTGGGGGTGGGGGATGTCAGGGTGAAGATTCCTGGACTAGAGGCTGGGTGGGTGGGGGCATCCGTCAGGAAATTGGAGAACTGTCCAACCTCAAGGAATTCTTGGCAACTGTTCCGAAGTTCATCTTCAGAGCCAGTCGACGCACGTCGAGACAGCTGCAAACAGCGTCTCTGTTATCAACGGTGGGAAAGATTCCTGTCCGATCGATGTAAGAACAACAACAACAACAACAAGATTCCATTTATAAAGCGCCTTTCACGTCAGGAGGACGTCCCAAGGCGCTGCACAGTTGGGTCATGACCCGAGCAGGGGGGAAATGGTCAGGGTGAGGGGAGAGAAGGGAGGGAGCGAGGAGGGGGGAAATGGTCAGGGTGAGGGGAGGGAAGGGAGGGAGCGAGGAGGGGGAAGAGAGTCGAGAGGGGAGCTGAAGGCTCGGTCAAAGAACCGGCAACAAATGGGCTCCTTGCAAACAGGGCCAAGTGACATGTGTATGATGCATCACCCGAGCCCTGAGCGACCCGCATGCAAACACGTTTTGCTGCACAATCTTTTATCTTAAAAAAAACCCCACTATGTTACAATTAACTGGAGAGCGAATCTCGAGGGAACTGAGATTCGCTGTTCGAAAAGCGAAGGGAGATTCTCCCCCAATCTCCCCCTCCCGGTGTCCTGGCCGACAACTCCCCCTCAAATAAAATTTGGTCACTCACTCCACGGCTGTTTGTGGGACACAGCTGTGCACAAAGTACCACTTTATAGCGTATCCTCCGAAGCGTTTTGAGATGTCTCCCTGCCCGCTCCCTCCGTCCATCGGGCTCCGGTCTGCTCCATGTCTCCCTCCCGACCCGCCCTACCATCGGTGGCCGAGCTTTCAGTCTCTCTGCCCCCACACTCTGGAACTCCATCCCTCGGTCCCCTTGCCTCACTTCCTCCCTCGCCTCCTTCAAGGTCGGTCTCAAGACCCTTCTCTTCGGCCGTACCCTCCCACCTCTCTGCATTCCCTCACCCCTCCCCCATGCTCGGGTCCCGACACCCGACTGTTCAGCGCTTTGGGACGTCCTCCCGACGTGAAAAGCGCTATATCAAATGCAAGTATTATTATTATTATAAATATAATTTTGTTGTTGTCATCGTTGTTTCAACGGCGTGATAAGGCGCTATATCAAGGGCAAGGATTATTATTATTATTATTATGATTATAACTGACTTAGACTTTGCAGCTGTGTGGATGAGGGGTGGTGGAGAGGACAGGAAGCTATCCATGAGTCTCATTTCACAGTGTCTTCTTCCTGAAGGTTCGCTTGTTTAACTTTCACTGACTGAAACACAAAGCGATTTACGGTCAAATTGTTCGTGACTTTTTTGTATAATTTACAGTTCTGGTTGGGGGGAGGGTGGATGGAGGGGAACATTTCAGACACGCCCTGATGTTTACTCAATGCTACTTGGCTCGTAACCCAAGTAGGGACTAAACAGTCACTGTTGTTCGGCTGAAGCAACTTTGCCAAACACTGGCGTGCCCAGTGCCCAGTGCCCAGTGCCCAGTGCCCAGTGCCCAGTGCCCAGTGCCCAGTGCCCAGTGCCCAGTGCCCAGTGCCCAGTGCCCAGCCAGCCACGCACACTGAACCAATCCTGCAAACAAATCTGTCCTGATAAAAGCTGTATAAACGTACATAGAAAGTTGACAAGAGCTCTCCTGAAGTTCAGGCATCTCACTCCACTGCCCGCTGCCTCCACTCGACTGGCTCTGGCCTCCTGTTTGTCCCTCGTCCCTCCGCTCCACCATCAGCGGCCACACTTTCACCCGCTATCCCCCCCCCCCCCCCGAAGCTTACCCCCCTGAATTCTCTCTCCCAATCCCTCCTCCCTGCCCCCTCCTTCCTCTGATTTTCGCCCCCGCATGAAGGGCGCTCTACGTGTCAAATTGAGGTTTGTAAAGAGAAGAGAGTTTCTCTCCCAGTGTCCTGGCCAACAATCCTCCAGATGAAAAATTGGTCGCCGACTCCATAACTATCCGTGGGACATTGCTGTGCGCAAATCGTCTGCCTCATTCGTCCACAAAATACCCTACCCGTCAGTATATCCTGTGAAGAGCTTTGAGACATCTTGACAACGTGATAATGCGTTATATCAAATTCAAGGTTTGTTATTAGTAGTATAGTAACGCTATCTTGTACACCTGTTAGCCCTCTCTTCCCCCCCTTTCCACCCAGTGTTAAACAAAACCGCAGTACGTTATAGAGTCACAAAGTTCCATTTGCTTTTCCAACTCGGGCATTTAACACTGGAAAGGATAATAATCCTTGCGTTTGATACAGCGCCTTATCGCATCTTCGATGCATCTCAGAGCGCTTCACAGAATATAGTGTAAAGTGAATTAACTGTGTATTTTGTGGGCGAAACTCTAGGCAAGTTTCGCCCCACCCAGGAATGGAAGCCAACACTTGCAAGGCTGGAGCGCTCGAACCCACACGTTCCAGGACTCCAATTGTACCATCAAATGACTTGATGGTAAAATTAAAAATAAGAGCCTTTTTTTGTTGTTGTTGTATTCGCTTCAGCCGTGTGATTAATGGCTTTTAATCATGACGGAGGACCCCAATTCATCAAGAGCATACTCGAGCTGTCTCCTGCCTTGCCGGCATCAAATTTAGCTAATTACACGAACATTGCAAAGCAAATTAAACATGGCCTAATTGATTGTGAGCTGCAGAGTCTTCTATTATCCACGTCGTGGCTTGCTGACGGCTCAGTGTGGCAGGGGCTGGTATTTCTCTTGACAAAAACAGAGAGAGAGCTGGGAGAACGCAGCAGGTCAGGCAGCATCTATGGAGAAAGGAAAGTGAGCCAACGTTTCGAGTCCACGGCCCTTCAGCTGTCAGAACTGGGACACGTTGGGAGGGATAGAGGTTTTTAAGGACAAGTTGAGAGGGGGCGGCAGGACAAGGACGACAAAGAAGACAAAAAAAGAAGACAGAGGAGAGAAGGCGTTAGTTGATGGGTTAGAGAGGTGATAGTGGCGTGAAACAAAAGGGGGAGAGGGGTGAGTTGAAACAAAACAAAACTGGGGAGAAGAGGTGCACTATTAACGGTTGACCCTAACGAAGGGTCGTGGACTTGAAACGTTGACTCACTTTCCTTTCTCCATAGATGCTGCCTGACCTGCTGAGCGTTCCCAGGTCTCTCTCTGTTTTTGTTTCGGCTTTCCAGCAGCATTTTGTGTTTTGTGGCTGGTATTTCTCTCTTCGGTCTTCAGCTGTGAACAGCCTTGTGAAGCGCTCTGAGACGCCGCCCTACGTGGAGGGCGCTAT